CCATTCTCCTGCCTCAGCCTCCCAAGTAGCTGGGACTACAGGCGCCCACCACCACGCCCAGCTAATTTTTTGTATTGTTAATAGAGTCGGGGTTTCACTGTGTTAGCCAGGATGGTCTCGATCTCCTGACCTTGTGATCCACCCGCCACGGCCTCCCAAAGTGCTGGGATTACAGGCGTGAGCCACAGCGTCCGGCCTTTAATTTTTGTATTTTTAGTAGACAAGGGGTTTCACCATGTTGGCCAGGATGGTCTCAATCTCTTGACCTCATTATCTGCCTGTCTCGGCCTCCCAAAGTGCTGGGATTATAGGCATGAGTCGCCGTGCCCAGCCTAATATTCCCATTTTACAAACAAGACAACATAGACCTCAAAAAGGGAAGTAACTCTGGATCCAAAGTCACACAGCCAGTGAGTGGCAGAGCTGGAGTCCTGACTCCCTGTCCTGTTTTCACACAGCTGGCCTCAGGCCCAGGGACCTCTTGACCTTCATGCTTCCACTTCTCCCCTCTCTCCCAGCTGACCCCACCTTGCCTTCAGACACTTTCCACAATGTCCCTGGCTCTGAGCCCCACCCGGAGAGGATCCTTAATGTGAGCTATAGGCTGAGCCCAGAATCTCGTCGCAGACTGAGCTATCATCCTAATCACTCACTAAGCCCTGATCCTGCCACAGAATGAGTCTTGGTCCTGGTCTTAGGTAAAGCACTGAATGTGGTCATAGACTGAGCCCTGATGCTGGTCACAGACTGAGCCCCAGCACCTTGCCACCAGCTCCCTTAATAATGTATACAATTGGCTGGGCGCGATGGCTCACGCCTGTAATCCCAGCACTTTGGGAGGCTGAGGTGAGCAGAACATGAGGTCAGGAGATCGAGACCATCCTGGCTAACACGGTGAAACCCCACCTCTCCTAAAAATACAAAAAAATATTAGCCGGGCATGGTGGCGGGTGCCTGTGGTCCCAGATACTTGGGAGGCTGACGCAGGAAAATGGTTTGAAACTGGGAGGCGGAGCTTGCAGTAAACTGAGATCGTACCACTGCACTCCAGCCTGGGAGACAGCGAGACTCTGTCTCAAAATAATAATCATAATAATAATGTATACAATTAAACACAAGTCGGGCCTGGCACAGAAGACATGGATGACTGGGTACCATCCCTCTCCAGTGTTGCAGAAATCCTGTCTCAGGGACAGAGGTGGTGTGACTGTAGCCTGGCTAGATGCTCTGGCGTCATTTCCCTCCATCCTCCACAAGAATTTACGCCACAGCTTGTGCCCATTCATTTCTGTCCCCTCCCACTGCCCTCCCTGTGCAGGTGGGGGTTTGGGCAGCCCATGGTAATAAGCACGGAGCAGGGGTCGTCTGTAATGAGTCATTCTTGCTCAGAACGAAGCATTCCAGCGTGGACAGCACTTGTCCTGGCTCCCCTGCTACAGAAATCACTGTTCCCCACCCTAGACCCTTCCCCTCACCCCTTGCCAGGCCAGCATTCTCCAATATGATTTCCAGGAGCTTCCAGAATGCTGGCTTGTTATAGCTGCTGCCCTGCTCTTAGTGACCAGCATCTCCTTCACACAGTCCTCTGTGTCAGGTGGGAAGCCGGGCCGACTTCTGACCACCCTCAGCTCTTGTCAGCCCAGGAGAGGTGGAAGGTCAAGGGAGGGGCAGGGAAGGTGCTGGAGCTGGGCAACTTGGAGGAGAGAAAGCAAGGAGACAGAAGGGGGCAGGTGTCAGTGTATCACTGAGTCATAAAATGTCAGGGCAGGCGAGAAGTGGAAGGACTGGCCCTCCTCCACTCTCCCTTGCTAGGCAGATGGAGAACTGAGGCCCAAGATCCTACAGTGACTTAAGAGACAAATGGGGTCTCACGTGTGGATTCCTGATACCAAAGAACAGCAGACCCCATAGCTCCAGAGGCCAGAGGAGGACCCTAAGGGAAGGAAGATCTCGCTAATTATTTAAGTTGCCCAGCCCAGGGATCTCTGGTTGGAGGGGCACAGGGCTGTGAGTTCTCCATCGCCAGGAGACTGCAGCCAGCACAGTCACAGTATGGGGGTGCAGCCCAACCCTGCCGGGGTCGGAGATTGGTTGCTTTCTTGGCCACATTTCCTTTTATGGGTTTGGAGCCCAGATGTGCTCCCCACACGGGATCTTGGGGTCC